TAAATGTTTCGAAATGATGAAACAACAAATTGTAATTTTTGCTTTCGTAAATCAGTGAATAGGAGAAAACATAGGATGGTATTTAACTTAGCCTTCACCTGAAATTGTTTTGAAACTCAAATCATTTCGGTCGAAATTTAAATAAACGGTACTTATAGTTAGATGGGATAACATATTTTTATGCCCTTTTTATTGTGATTACTTGAAACCTCTTTCCTTCTTCATCTTTATCAATCTATGGGCTTTAAGATTATGAGCGATTTGTCGGAATGACGCGAATGGTGTAACGTTTACAGATTATTCGTCAACTTTCAGTAATCAAAACAAGAAATTTATTTAAAAAGAATAAAAAAATATCACAACTGAGGATATTCCTAACATTTTCATTGTTTAATATGCTTTATACTGTGTCTAGTATTTTCAGGCATATTTCTATCCATTTTAGTGAATGGTTGCTAGATATTTGAATGAAATTCTTTTTAAAAATTTTATTTCAACCTAAAATGTTTGTCATATCTATGTTTTTGATCAGCATGTTTGACAGAGCTACACTAATGTGTTCATAAGAGATAGATGTGAGTAACTCCAGGAGCTTAAATTGGAATCTTTAGTGAAAATAGCATTTTGTTACGTAGCAATCACCCATTAAACAAATGGAAAAATAGGTGTTAGATAAAATACACCGAAAACGTTGAACATAATCTCAGCGAATATTACATATTATACAAATTTTCGAAAAATTATTTAAAGACTATATTTCTTGTAATTTGATAGCTAGGCGTCTGAAGTTTCTGCCAACAAAAGGCCTTTGATACACTATCACAAGTTAATAAAAACCATTGTATTGTTACCAATATAATAATAACCTAGTGAAATTATATGCAAAAAATACCATTTTCCAAAATTAAATAAAGCACTGAGAAGGTAAAGTTAGTCAGAACTGTGTGATATATTTGTACGTTAGGTATATACAGTTGACGAGTCCTAAATAGGAAGAAACGCGCATCAAACTGGATTCCACTGCTAGCCACTATCTATCTATGCTTATAATGCTTGTGACTTATGGCAATACCGAGGCAATTCGCACAGCATGCACATACGCCAATAAGAAACTGATCAATTGCAGTGCTAAATATCAATTAGAAAATTCAAACACACAATATACAATGAATTTATTATGATATGTTTCCAACAATTTGATCATCCATTAACTTTTTACTATTTTTGCAGGTTTACGTCTGCTTAATACACATTTTCTGAGCTTTAAAACTCATTGATCTTTCACTAAAACGTGTTGACTAACGGTGAAAATCATTCTACAGTACAGTAATGTAAATCTGAATAAAAATGTCGAAAAGATTTGCTCGCACTAAGTATTTTAGCTCGAATTCGCTTTCAAATTATTACACTCAACATAAAACTTTAACTATATGTTGAATAGATATTTAAATTTAATTGTTTCTCATAATCTAATATAATCATATTATCTCTAATTGCAGTGAGATTTAAGTATTTTATTACTATTTATTACTACTGCGAGACCAAAGGCCCTGGGTTCGAATCCCTTGAGCGGGATCATGGGTTTGCACTGCTGAGGAATTGCACAATAGGACGAAACGGCTGTCCAGTGCTTCCAGGTTTTCAGTGGTGGTCTGACATCAATCGGTTCATGATCCCAATCAAAAATATAATAATCTCCACAATCCCATACAGATAAAAATATACCTTGAAAAATTTTGTCTAATATGCTACAACTACTTTCTGCTTATAATTGTGGTTTACGTAAGTTAATAACGGATTATGTACACCAAGTTATATTGACTGGATGGTTTTTCATAATAATAATAATAACAATAATAATAATAATAATAAAGGAGAAGAGGAAGACCAAAGAACACATGAGAAGAATGAACAAAAATCGGATAGAACTTGAAAGGAAGGTCAGGAGTGAGCTGTAGAATGCTGGTAGTCGGGCTATTCTCCATTGGGGTTCACAGGCGTAAGTAATTAATTAAATAAACCTATTGACTAAGTTAAATAAATAATGTTATCTTCGATTAATTTAACATCTAACTGTTTCCAAATTTTAAACAAAAATGAAATTATATATATATATATATATATATATATATATATATATATCTGTGACACTGATGTGACGGACATGTTTACTTGATACAAGTGTATGTTCAGTTTATAAACAATCTCGTGAGAAAGCCTAAATAAATCAGATGTATTTTAATGGTTACATTTTTTATGACAAGCAATATGATATCAGCTTTACTGGGTAAAAACTAACAACGTTATATGACGTCAAAATAAACACTCAGTGATTTAGTTTGGAAGATTAGGTATATTTATGAAATTATTGATCGATAAGACATGTTGAATGTCGACAGTAAACAAAGTTTTTATATCGATTACCAATGGTACTGCTTGTACAGAGATTGAAATAAAATAACAAATTTGGTGATGGTAAATTACTTATAAATGATATAATTTAAAACGACAATAAAAAAATCGACAAATGAAAACGACGGAGTAATTCAGTATTTAACTTTTAAAGCAAAATTGAAAAAGTGCACATCTTCACTACAGTACACCTAAGCAAGCGACTGACTACCATGGGGAACGCACGTTCCATCCATTTCACACTTATGATATAGTATGGAACAAATCGCTAAATAATGAAGCTCACCTGAACAGAAACGTCTATCTCCCATACCTGAAAAATCATATCAAACAGTTAAAGCGGTTTCAGGATGCTGTTAACCATTAAGAGATTCCCAAGATAAGTAAACTAATTCATGCTCATGTACTTTATAAATGTTTGAATGATAGATGCTACAGATTTATTAATAAATAATGGTTTTAAATCTCTCCACAAAATATATGACAATCCTGTCATTTCAGTAAAGAATTTAACAGTAATTTCAATGGTTATAATCATGTACAATATCTCTAGGGCCATGACGTTACTTTGATTTTTGCACAGCTATAAGTGACGTGAGGCATCTCGAAACCATATTTTGATGTATTACCAACTTTAATTCAGAAGGAGATCAAAGGGAAAACCGAACACTAAGTTTTGAATAATTCTAGTCGGGAAATAACTGAGTTATTTTAACGCGAACATAAAATTACGTTAAGCGGACAAGTATTAGTTGAATGTTTTGCCAACATCTGAGCTCAAATAGAAACTTGGGCACTGTTACTTTACTTATCAAAGTGTTCGGATCAAAGTTCTATACAAGACACAATAATCTTAGAAATAAAATAGAATTTGTATGGAAAATGACATACAAGTCAGCTTAAACATTGTTGAAATAATAACTTATGCGAAACCAGTAATATCCCATGATATTTTGAAGAAAATAATAGTAAATCATAGTATGAAATTAAATTATAGATTGTTTCAATTTCATGAATTTGCAGCGTAAAGCGTTAGGTAATTGATAATCATCAGAAACTTATAGCAACTATCTTACAAGCAATTTCGATTATGGTTAATTTTGGTTGAAACCTTTTATTAACTTACTTAACAGACAATGTAATTCGAATAGTAACAATTCGCATCTTCCTTTGTACTATTATGATCACTATCATATTTGTATGTACATGCACGCTTGATCACATGACAGACTCTAGCTAAAATGTGAATAGCTTAAATATCGCTCGATGAATTATTCTCTTTCCCATGTATATGTATGCGAAACCTATTATTAGTTTTTGCCTTGCCTTTCTGTGCCCTTATTCGATTTGACTATAAATTTGCCTCTGTATTTACTCACACACACACACATTCGCCTCTCTGCCTCGAATTCACTCGATGTGCTTAAAACTTTATTATCCGTGCTATCCTCTAAGAAACTGTAGTTACCACTTCTTATCGCCATCCGATTTCAAACACCGTTGAAATTTATATGATAACGATTATAAAGGTGATTGATTAACAAAGCAAAGCCATTAAGAACTAACAATATTTACTGATAAACATCAGATTTAGTGTAACTTCCATCCTGACTATTTCAAGTTTATGATTACAGTCACTGAATCAATATATAACATCACACCACATCAGTTCATTTAGATAATCTATTCCTAGAAATAACTAATTAACATTATTTTAAAAAAGCAATTCACACAAAGCTATGGATGTACAAAGATTTGTTGAATCTGTTTATCAGTAATCTGTACAGTGTAAATGTAGTTTTAACTCTGAATTTAGGACATTTTAAAAGAGAAAATTGAAGTACAATAAATAATCCCGTTTAACCAATCATGTTAAGTCATTCTTTTTTTCTTAACATGTGATCACTGCAAAATTGATGTGATACATAAATAACATTTATGAACTGATGAATTTATTCATGAAAAATTATCCCTTCATGTAAATTAACCTCTTTATTTCTTTTTTTTTTGTTTGCTTTTTTAAAGTGATTTTTCATACGAATAAAATTAAAACTGTGATGTGTGCTACTAATCTCGATAGATATAAGTAGTATATATTATTAATCGAAGGTGAAATGTTTGGAGGCAGAAGGTTAAAAAGATCTAAGGAAAGAGAACGAGAATAAAGAATGATTGGTGTGGAAACGAAAAACAATGAAGTCTGAAATGAGTGATTGACAGTTTGTAGAAGGAACAGTGAAGTTTGAGATAATTGATTGACATTTTGCAAATGAAGTATTTACTGTATGTTTCTCAGATTTTACTAAGCTGTTCTGTAATTTTGTTTTCAGTTACATTCGATTTTCCCTACTTGTGTGCTTTCACTACGAAACTATAAAATCAAGTTGTAAACTACTGAATTATGATTGATAAATACTTAAAGTAACAATACATTCAGTTAACTGCTTAATGCAGCAAATTAAATCGAGCTCTAACCATGGTTCAATATAAAGTGAAAAATAACCAATTTTTATCTTATGTACTCAAATGTTTATAGCTAACGTTTATTAAATTTGGATAATTATTAGCAGAGAAATAAAAGAACTGACGTTTTGTTTTATTTGAGACTCATCAAGTAGATGTGGTTGGATCATCATGCGTGTTCACATTGAGATCTGAACCCAGGATTTTACTTCATTAAACATTAACGCGTTATCCATTGAACTACTGAATCCAGTTATCCACTAATTTGTTGAACGGGTATGATATTTAATATCATAATTGGTAAGGCTCCGAATTGTTCAGTTGTCGATATCCGAAAATACATTTTGATCAGTCTTTGGAGTCGATACTGAGATACATGTATATCCCATTGTCAGATCTCAAATAGGAAAAGAAAGGTGTCCTGGATTATATTTCTACCCACAAAACATTTGTTCTAAATATCTATACCGTATCGGATATAAGTAACTAAATAATCTTTAGTGGCCGATTTTCTGATTCCTGATCAGAAGGACCCCACGGGCCACAAACGTGGTGAGCCCATCAATAACATACTCCGACCTAATTGACATAAAAATGAAGGGCCCCGGTAAAGTAGTGAGCCCTCCAACTACGAACCTAACGCGGCAAGCCACGTCGGTGTAGAAACTTGTACACTCTATGCTTTCGACGTACCAACTCAGAGAAGCCAGCCCAATATCTAATCCGACGCACTCAGCAAAGCCTATACAGCACGAAATGGACATGCTCAAATCGTATTATCTTATTGATACTTTTTCCTCATGTCAACTCTTCTCGTTGATCCATCCGACGGATCGTTTCATTATGATTCAAATAATAATCATATGCTCATTATCACGTATTTCCACCTAATGTGGAAATATTATTATTGTTCATGCTGACATTAAATTATGACGTTTACGCAATTGCATCACTCAACCATTAAATTATAATTTTATGAACATTCGATTCACATTATGACACTCGAAACTCACCGAACTATTTTTAATATTCAATAACGTAAATTTATCCTTCTCCAAGTGAGTTCGTTCCATTTTTTCCATATCATTTTCGGCCTAATATTACATTCATTCACTTAGTTGATGTCATTTTTTATGTTATCATACCGTACATTTTTCATTTCAATATTGCCTTCTATTATGTCTGTGGATGCCTCTAATTCTACTAGCTAATTAGTAACGATTACATTCATCTTATCTATTCGTCCACATGTATAACTGCAACTACATCATTCATTACCCAAGAACATTATTCGATTACTGCAATTAATATTCTATTCCCATCACACTGTATACCAAAAGATAGTTTAGAGCTGATCTTTTAAAGATACACTCTTGTTTATCACATCCAAGTCAGTCCCACTAACTGTTATTGATAATCACATGCACTGATATTGTTATCATACCTTAGTACAGTTTTATAATAAACAAGAACAAGTGCATCTCCCTTAAGCCACAAAAACCACTCTAGGCATAATGATCTAATTGGAGTCAGATTCAGGGCCACTAAATAATCTCTTATAGTGATATTTTAAAATGATAACAACAATGATCGATTTATCTTATTTTTCTATGATTATATAATAAACGAAGTAATCATATGCTCTTACAATAATTATGAAATTTCTTTTACTTAATTATATAATTGATTTATGTACTATAATTATGTTTATTAATTAACATGGTAAAAAGAAAAGTGACATTCACTCGTAGTTAAACAATTTTCTTACGTTTTATAATGTTCTGTTATTTTCGTGTGTGTGTGTGTGTGATAGAAAAATATAAAAATACAAAGATCATTCAGAATTCTAATGTGTCTTACCATTAAAAAAAACCAAATTACTAGTATAGCCATTAGTTACCTATTTAGAAATAATTAAATAGAATATTAAGGAGTGTAAATGAATTTATTTGCCAAAGTTACAAATTATCGATCAATATTTAATTATTTTTGGGTGGTCTATCATATTTACTCTGTTAAATCTTTAAAAAAAAACAGAAAATATAGGAATATAAAGCTGAATCTTCCAAAAAAAAATAAATAAAAATCAAACACTCATTCTAAAGAAAATGTTATACATGGATATTGATTTCAAATGTGACAAAGTTTCAGATAGGTTAAAGATAAAGGATTTTTAACTGTTTTAAGAGGTTAGTATTCTCTATTGTCCTATACTTATTAATTGTTTGATCATTTCTATATGCATTTATAAATACATTTGCTGCTATGGAGCTAGGTGGATAAGTAGTTCAGTATAAGTTCTATATGAATAGTTTCATTTAGTTAAAAAGAGAGGAAAATTTATGTGAAACTAAGTAATCAAGTACCATATGAACACTTATTATTCAATTATAACGAACTCACAGTTCTAAATCATTTATGAAATAGGTAGAAACATGCTTAAGACAGAGAGTTACTACATTACTTTAGATTACTGAATATTTTTTCATACATTTAAAAAATGCACAATTATGTATACAAATAAAATTTATTTGAACTCTATTTCTACTTTCATTTTAACTTTCAATTTCCAATGACTCTATTTTCTCTCTATCTTCTGTTATACTGATAGTCTATTGTTAATCAATCTATTTTAGTTTTATCTACTCCTAATTACATTGCATATCAGTTTCAAACTTTTATGTTATCCTATTTGACAACCACTTTTTTTGTAGGTATGACATTCATGTACTAAAAACTATGTTTTTCAGTTTCTAAATAAGAATAACATATTCCGTGATATTATTATGGCGTATAATAAATTATTATGATTTACAAATATATTACTGATTATTATTGTTATATCAAAAATATATTTTTATAAGTGTATAGTTTTGAAAATGAATTTGCCAAAGGCGAGAGTATAATTTATGGATAAACCAATCAGATTTACGGTAATAGATCTTGGATTTTGGAGCGAGATTCACTCATCCATTTGGCTAAATAGAGTCTTGGTATTTTATCTTATATTAGTTCCTGATGAAAACCCTAAATCTAATTCTTAACCTTAACCACCAACTGTAAATCATAATTTGAATTCCTTACATTGGTTTAAAACACTCATTTAGCCGTAGTCAGTAGATGGACATTCTCAAAGCCTCTTTAGAGTCTTTCAAAGGTCGTCCATAAACTGTAATCTCACCTCTTTACAGAATACGATGAATTCATTGTACTTAGCTGTTTTCTTATCCATTATATATAAGCTTATATGTTTAATTATTTTCAATTTATAGCATGATATTATATGAAAAACGTTAGGAATTCATGTTTTTAAAAGGGATTTTTATATAACTACTTGAAGTGATAGATGTAGAATATTAAGATAATTTTATATGCTAATACAACAAAATCTTTTTTTAATTTAGAAAGGGAAAGTGAATGTGCATGGTTAATTCATCAGATTGTGATAACAATCATTTTGGAAAAAAAGAGGACGAGATGTTATCAAGGTAGTTTTAATTTAACTACCGATTATTTCTGAATACATAGGCCAGGTTTAAGCCTTTTAATTGATATGGCTTCTGTGAATTTTACTAACGTAGAATTGATTATTTTCAATGAGTTCGTTAAATTTACGTTGTGTCACGTGTCACACATGGTAATGAACTTTATATGAAGCTTTCTCCTTGAAGACGTAAGTGTTTGAGAATTCGTTCATAAAAGTGAGTAGGAACCCATCTTTTTCCTTTTCAATATGCATCCTTTTGTTTGTACAGATAGATCTATATATGTTTTTAAAAATAACACTCATCATCTGACTTTCAGGTGTTGACCTACTACGAAGAGATACATTTATTAACTAAGAATGCCTAGATGATGTGGTTCTACATGGTGAATGTGCGGATAAAATGCAGAGTTTTCTAACCACCTTAAGCAGCAGTGAAAGAATGTTCGGGATGCTTTTCTCTCGCTCCAAATGGAAAAGTTTTGCTTTACATTGATGTACATAAGTACAAGTTTCTACGTTGTGACTGACGGACTGACTGGATTCGCAGTTATTTTTAACTTAAGCAATCATAAAAAGACCATCACTTTAAGGACTTTAATCTTTAGATTCTTTCAGACTACATACATAACTTGTTACTATTCAACAATTCAATGCTAAAATTATGCATATAATTGAAGAATAGGCGATAATGAATTCACCATATTCTTCAAATATTATCTTTCTTGCTTGGTTTAAATGAATTCTTCTCTAAACTAATCTTTATTGGATTTTATTTCCCAATGATTGTATTCAATTTATATTGAAAAGAAAAGACAAAAGTCAACCACATGATATCTTTAACGAAAACTTGTCAACAAATATTTTACAAATAAAAGTTTGAGATCTGCAAGAGAAATATAAAAATACCATTACAATGACGTATACATGTGAACTATTCTTATTTTCAGCATAGGATTGTGGATATTGTTGAGTTTTGAGATCATAGACTGATCAGTGTTAGAACACCTTTGAATACCTGGAAGCACTAGATGACCATTTCTTTCTAGGCTGGGACTCCACAATCCAAAACGCGAGATTCAAACACACAACCTTCGGCCTCGTGCGCAAACGTCCAGCTTCAAGGCCACTAAGCAGGCACCCAACGTTGTTCATTTCTAACCCCAGTCAATCCATGATATTGCGTGACCATATTTAATTACCTTTGGTGTGTAATTGATAATCATCATGTGTTCATGAGCGACGAACTTGGAGAGGTGATTCTCGGAGTTCTAGTGAGAAGCTGTGACCAGTGGGGTTCAACTTTGTCGAGTGTGAGGCAGTTATTCTGCCATTAGTAGTATAGCGGAATTTGTGGAGATGGTAAAATTCTAATAGTTTAAATTACATGCCTAACAGGGGCGACATATCAGACATAACAACAGAACCCAAGATATAACAATTACTTTCCTTTATAACATACTGTATAAACTTTTTTTTTCTTATTTTATTGACTTTAGTCGAGACATATAAGTTATTTTGCAAAACCCACTTTTCTTTTTCGCTTATGGATTTCTTTGTTGGATTGTCGTTTTATATTAGAAGTTAGTTTATTTTGTAACGCTACGTCCATTTGTATATAAAAAACTAATTCCCACAAACTGCTTCAATCAAGCAGCTAATTCTGTAAATTTTCATCAATGAGAGTTG